CTTTTTGGCAAGGAGACATTCCCGGATGTTTTTAGTGATCGCTGCTCATAAGGTATCGGGGATATCCACAGTTAGCTTTTGCTGGTGCATTTCAGATGCAGGATGCCGGCACGGGTTTGACACTGAGCCGCATCCTTGCTTTGTGCCTCTCTCTCCCGTTCATGATGCCGCGCGTGTGCGGAGAACCGGGCGCCCACTCCAACAGCTCTGGGAAGCCCCGGAGGGGAGCCGGGACCGCCCCGTGTTTCCGCTGGCTTGCCCTGTGCAGTTCAGGGGCCAGCTCTTGGCAGCTCTGGGAAGCTCTCTGGTAGCAGAGCACATGTTTTTGTTTCAAGCCCATGTTTGTTCCTTAAAGACGTTCGCAGTATACAGCGAGCAGAGTCGATTTGTAAGTACATTGCAGCAAGGGCCCCAAACTGGAATCAGATGTCGGCCTTGGCTTCGGAGCGCCGCAGCTGACACAACGCGCACACTGTCTACTCCCACCCATTAGAAAGCTTGTTGAAGCAGATGTTTGCCATTCATTTTTACTCACCCAAGAGATTTGTCCTCATTAAGGAGCAATTAGCATAGGTGCTCTGCCCACAGCCTTTCCACGACTGCTGCATATACCTGAATGAGGGGCTTGAATGCTTGCATTTAACTTCCCAGCCTGGCTTGCTACCTTGTTAATCCCAACACATCACGGACACGGCGTGAAACCAATGTTAGGAGTTACATGGCTGCAAAGGGGATCGTAGGATCATAGGAAATCAGGGCTGGAAAGAACCTGAAGAAGCCCCTTGATATTTTTTTTTTTTAATCTTCTATTTTCCCCCTCTTAAGGGGGAAAAAAGAGGGAAAGCCCTAGGGCTAAAGCAGGCTCTGAACAAATCAATGTCATGGGCTGCAGCTGAGCAAAGAAAAAAAGGCTGGAATTGAGTCTGAACTGCCTGATGCTTCCTGTGCTAGCACATTAGTCTCCGAAGGGACGTGGTGCAGGAGCAATGATGAGTGGGTTGAACAGGCCCCGGGATGATATGTAGTAGAGAGCTGCCTGTTCTCTAGCCCTTTTCTGATGGACTGGATGAGTCCAGGGCCTTTCATGATTCATTTGAGCTGGTGTCCCTTTGCTCTGCTTTGGCTCATGGGATCTAACAACCTGAGTGAGCTCCCACTCCGGAGGGGTATTGCATTCATAATCAGGAGCCTGGGGGACAAGATGGATGAAGAAAGGCTGAAAGAATTAGCATTATTTAGTCTGGAGAAGAGACGACCGAGGGGGATTGAATAGCAGCCTTCACCTCCCTGCAGGGGGGCTGCAAAGAGGATGGAGCTGGACTGGTCTCAGTGAGGGCAGGTGACAGAAGGAGCAATGGGCTCAAGCTGCAGCAAGGGAGGATGAGGTTCGATATTAGGAAGAATTTTTTCAGGAGGGTGGTGAAGCACTGGGACAGGTCTCCCAGAGAGGTGGTGCAATCTCCATCCTTGGAGGTTTTGAAGACCCAGGTAGACCAAGCCTTGGCTGGGATGATGGAGTTGGGGCTGGTCCTGCTTGGAGCAGGGGGGTGGACTAGATGTGACCTCCTGAGGTCCCTGCCAGCCTCATTTTCTGTGATTCTATAAATGGTGCCTGGAAAGCGTGCAAATGCAAGCAGGGCGGTGAATAAGCCCATGACTATGGTCGTTACAAGGGAGGATGATGGGGACCTGGCACTGTGCACTGAAAGCCTGGGTCCCTCGGCTGCTGAGCCTCTCCAAAGAGAAGCTGAGCACTCAGCACCACACAGAATAGGGCCATGCATCTGTTTCTTTTGAGTTTCCATGTCACATCATGGGGAATATTGTCTCCCTGAAGCCAGGGGTGGGGGGCTGGTTCCTTCAGGGCTTGACCATCAGCCTTGTGATCTCAGAGCCCCTCATCCTTTCCCCCCTGCAGAACATTACTTGCAGGTCCTGGCTTGCAAGCAGGACTGTGTCCGAGACCTGGCCACCCGACCCGGGCGCATCTCGCCCATCGAGAACTTCCTGCCGCTCCACTACGACTACCTGCAGTTTGCCTATTACAGGGGTAAGACCCAGGTCCCCTTTTCTGACCTCTCAGGGTTGGCGTGGGGGCTTTTCCTCTTGTATTTGGGAAGTGAAATGTTCCTGCTGAAGGTGTGGGACATGCAGGCCAGAAAGCAAAGGGGGTTGCTAGACATGGACAGCAAAGGAGCCCTGCGTTGCCTTCCTCTCCTAGTGGATTTGCATCTCAGCGTGGATGCCGCTTTACAGAAGAGCACTTACTAGCTCTAACCCACCTCCTGGTCTCCAAAATGCACAGGGCTGGCTTAAAAATCATTAGATTTATTAATGAATCATGGGATTTAATTCTTTTCCAGGTTCAGGCTTGGAGGGTCACTTTATTATTATTATTCCAGCAACCAAAGGTGCTAGAAAACATTTAAATATATATATATATATAAAATGTTTAAGGAATGTAAATTCAAATAAATAAATATTGGAAGTTTTAAAGTTATGATCAAATATTTTTTAAAAAGATGGGCTTTTTATGTGATTACGTGAGTCCAGGAGCTGGGACCTGGAGATAGGAAGGGTAATGCAAGGCTCTCAGTACGATCCCCAAGTTGGCAGCACCGTCAGCGTAGTGGTGTGGTCATGTGTCTCTAATTAAGCGGCACGTAGGATAAAGACCAGGTTCTGCTAGGGAAAAAACAAGATGAATTGCAGGGTCCTACAGATGCTTGTGCCCACAAGCCCAGGAAAGGGGGGAAAGCCAAGCTGTCAGGCCTGTCCGAGAGGTATAAATCACACTGAGACCTGGCTCATGTCTTGTGTTCACCAAGGAGATCCCCTTTTAAATGCCCCCCGATATTCTTCCCCACTCCCCAACTCTGTCCTTAACTTGCTGCACGATGGTAGCATCAGTCCTCCGTGCCCTGTCCATACCAAGACCACAGGGAAGAGCTCCTGCCATCCTCCTTTCACACTTGAGTCCAGTAGCACTAATGAAATCTCTTAGCTCAATAAAGCCATGAAGCCTCTTCTTCCTCCCCTAACCCCCTGCTGTCTTCCTCCGCAGTCGGCGAGTACACCAAAGCCCTCGAGTGTGCAAAATCCTACCTGCTCTTCCACCCGGACGACCAGGACGTCTTGGAAAATGTAGTCTATTATGAGAGCCTCTTGGAAGACAAGGTGGACCCAGAGACCATCGTCCCCAGGGAGGTGAGGATCAATGCAGCGAGAGGATCCCCAGTGGCCCAGCGCCTCGCTGGAGCATCATTTGGAAGTTGCTTAATTAGTGCATCGGCCAAGCGGTTTTGTGCTGCCATCCGTGTGGAGGAAAGGGCAAGAGAGCAAAGGGGTGCATGGTGTTCACACCAGCGTAAATCCAGATTAACTGGCAAAGCTGAGCACAGGCCTCTTTTTTTCAGTCTGTGTAATGGGGGTAAAATATAACCAGCCCTGGCAGAAGCAATGATGTGATATGCTTGCGGGTTTGCAGGAAGTTGCTTGGGAGGGGAGAGATGTAGGAGTAATGTTGTAAAATATTTCCCTGAGGGAAGCAACTGAGGTCAGCCTTGCTCCTGAGTCATTTAGGGCAAGATTGGACAAAGTCCGTGTGGTGGGAACAGCCTTGCCCTGGCTGTTGGGATGAGCCGATAGCTGTTGTGTGATCAGCATGGAAACGGACCTCCTGGTCTGAGTCATTTTTATCTGTGCTTCAGGGACTGCCTTTCCCATCACGCAGACATGAGAAATCATGTCCTCGTGGGGCTGCACCCACTCCTTGTCGCAGCACTGGGGCGGGCCTGGGCTCTCCATTTCCTTGGGAAATCCAGGATTCAGGAAAAAAGTTTCTGTTCTAAAATGGAGCAAGTTTAGATGTAGTTTCAACAGCAGTAACAGCAATCAGTGATGATGACTGGAGCTGGACTGGTCTCAGTGGGGGCAGATGACAAGGAGCAATGGGTTCAAGCTGCAGCAAGGAAAGTTGAGGTTGGATATTAGGAAAAACTCTCTCACTAGGAGGATAGTAAAATACTGCAACAGGCTCCCCAGAGAGGTGGTGGAGTCTCCATCCTTGGAGGTGTTTAAGACAAAGCCTTGTCTGGGATGATGTAGCTGGGGCTGGCTCTGTATGGAGCAGCCGGTTGGACTAGATGTGACCTCTGAGCTCCCTCCCAGCCCTCGTTTCTAGGATTGTATAATTTTATATCCCTTTGCAGTTGAGGAGCATTTATCTTTTATAATTTTATCTTTTATGATTGCCTTACCCATGGGTTTAGAGTTTGTATGTAGAGTTTAGATTATGTAGAGTTTAGCTAAAACATGTAGTTTGAGATGAAAGTATAGATATGTAGAGTTTAGATTATGGTTTGTCTGAGGTGGTTTGGATGGGGCTGTTCCTCCATGGCCAGAGAGCAAGGAGGAGGGAGCCTGGCTGTCTTGCAGTGCTCAGGATCCTCACTTGGGTGGCTTTTCCTGCATGTTCAGCGTGGAGCCAGCCCCAGGGAGCTATTATAGCATCCCCCTGCCTCCATCCCAGCATGGAAATCAGCTTAAAACCCACAACCCCGTTTGAGAAGGAATTTTTTTGAGGGAAGGGTGCATTGCTTGGGCCTTCTTACACCTCTGATTGCCTTCCCTTCTTTATCCTTTAAGGAGGCTGCAACATTTCTGAGATGTCACAGGCTGGAGTCTCACCTGCTAAAGATGGGTGCAGCGGGCCTGGGATTCCTCTACACGGAGCCGGTAACAGCAGGGACCCCCCTACCATGAGTGCTTGTCATCGGTGGTGTCATTCAGGTCTCCTGTTCCCATCAGCGAGGCCAGGCAATGCAGGGGGGAGCAGGGTGTCTTAAACGAGCGATCCCAGCTTGAATCAAGGTGTCCTTATGGGCACGGCAGGTGCTGATAAGTGTGTCTTCACTGCACAGCCCCTGTTTGCTGCAGGCTGGAGATGGCAGCTGAGGCAGGAAGAGGCTAAGTGACAGAGTGGGAAATCAGGATGCATTTTTGGGGGGAAGCACCCACCTCTGAGTACCCTGGATTTGTTCTGGTTCCCAGCCAGGCAGCCTTGGCCCATGGTCTGAGATGAGTCTGGACCCCGAACCTAATGTGTTTCATCCCCCAAAAAGTGGAAGCTCAAGCAACAGGACCCCTGCTTCAGCCTGCTTGGGTGGAGGAAGGTGTGCGCGTGTGTGCGAATGAGCATGTGCAAGTGAGAGCTAACCTTGCAATCAAAGGACAGCCTGCACACTAGGATGAGGCATCCCCATATGTTCCCGGGAGCCAGAGAAACCCAAACCTTTCATTTCTTCCCCTGAAACGAGCTCCTCCATCTGCTCTGCTCCTTCCCTCCAAGACCCCAGCCTCTCCCTCTCATTGCAGAACTACTGGAACCGGTATGGGGCCCGGCAGGATGAGCACAGGTGAGCCGCACACCCCTCCCCACCTTGTTTTAGGAGCTTTTGGGTGCACGAGGATGGTGTCCTGCAGCGGGGGCTGCAGTGGGCTGCGACCAGGTCTGTCCACTTTGAAGGGAGATGTTGCCTCTGCCCCACTGACCTCTACCACCCCACTGCAGGCGCTACGTGCGGGTAGGATTCACCCCCGAGCTCCCTGCTAACATCAGCACACCCTCACCCGGGAGGGATGCCTCATTGTTCATATTTCACAGATGGAGGGGCCCAAATCTGCGAGTCCCTGACCCCCTTCCCCAAGCCGCTTCCCTAACATTTCCCATCAGAGGACGCTTGCCTGAGACCCGCAGGGAACTCACCAGTGTCCCTTTTGTCGCGCAGCGTCCCCTCCAGCGTCAGCAGCGAGCCGGACGCGGGTCCCAGGCTGGTGATGGGCAAGAAGCCGGCTCCCAAGATGGACCGAGAGCTGCGGGAGGGTGAGTTTGCCTGCGTCCGGGAGCTGCAGAGCTCCCCGCCGGTCTGCAAGGCAGGTCTGAAACGCCCCAGGAGGAAGCACAGCCGACCCACTGCCCCCTGCCTCTGGCCTGGCCTGGCCAGACAGGAGGGGATGGATAGGTCCACCCTCGAGCTGTGCTAGGTGCATGCCGAGTCCTGCTCCTAGCTTCAGGCATGCTTGTTAGCTTACTATGTGGCTGTGTTGTCTCTGCCAGGATTCAGCATGTGTTTGGGGGTTGATCTGATCCAACGTGCCCCCTCCCTACCTCTGCCTAGCACCTTCCATCCCCTGAGCATGGTCCCAACACCCATCCTCTCCTAATGGGATTAATGCTTTCCCTGTTCCCCGGGGTCACCCAGCCAGGGACAGAGGGAACGGTGAGGCTTTGAGGTTTCCTAGCAGCCCTCTCTCCCCCCCAGCCCCTTTCCTCCAGTGTGAATCAACTGCATCCACATTCCCGTTGTTCCTGATTGCACGTCCGCCCCCCAGAATTGGGGCCAACGGGGGCTTGTGTTGGTCTTGCAGGTCCCCCAGAGGATGCTTTTGGGCTGGCTCGGCATGATTTGCACTGGTTGAGCCCAATCCAAATTGCCGTGGCTCCTGATTTCCACCTCACGTCAGAATCTGGCCCTTGGTAGCATCTCGATTTAGCCAAAGCAAACACCCGTGCCCCTGCGGCCCATCTGGCCTGTCCTGCTATACACGTGGCCTCGGTTCTTGGAGCATCTCCCTTCCCGAGCGACCTGAGCCCCGGCGCGCCGCAGAGGCCAAGGTGTCATTAGCGCTGGCAAGGCCTTTCAGCGGGGCTTCCCCAGTGCTGGAGCTGTCATCGGGGCCTGGCCAAGCGCACCCCAAAGTGCAATGTGAGGATGCGGGTTTCCAAGCATGGAAATGAGGGATACAGCCACTGAATTGAAACTTCCTGGACCATAAATGCTGGAGGCTGCAAGGGAAAGAGTGACAGGGGAAAGACCTTGGTCATATCCAGTTCGCTCCCCCTTCCAGCCTCCGCGTGACACAGGGGACCTGGGCAGGATGGGTCTGACCCATGGCAGGTCTTATGTTATTATGAAAGCGCCTGGGGTGCACGAGCTCTGGACCGTGGGCTGCCTTCCTGACACATCTGCATTCATTATGGATATTGCCAAGCAACGACACTCACCATGAGGGAGGTCATCCCCCCTCCAGATGCCTAAATCACCTTTGCAGACCATCTCGTGGGCGAGCAGTGAGCTCCTCGCGCAGTATCCTATATCCTCTGGCCGCGGACGCTTCCAAGGCCGGAAACGAGCTGCCGTTGACACGCACGCAAAGGCTTAAGAGAAACACTGTGCCGTGGCGCATGGAAAGAGAGCCTGTGCCGCTGCTTCCTCCTCTTTATTGCAGCTTTCTAACAACAGGCACATTTCCCAGGATTTAAAAGCATTTTACCTTGCTCCCCGAGCAAACATCTGGATTGAGTTTCTGGTGCGGTGTCCTGCTGGGTTTCAGCGCTCTGCTTTGCTGCTGGGATGAGTGTGGCATCACCCCTCTCCGGAGAGCGGGTGGGCGTCGAGCATGCATGAGCCAGGGATGCTCATCAGGTCCTGGCTCGGCATGCAAAAAATTCACCTCTCTGCCTAGGTCCCAGCAGAACTGGGGGAAAAGCAACCCAGGTGATGCCCTTGTCTCTCCCACTTCTTCCCCGTGGCCTGCTCTAGAGCACCGGGACCAAAGGAGAAGGGCTGGAGCGGACAGTTTTGTACAAAAAAAAGTATCCTGGACTTGAAAAGCTGGTTCCAGCCCCAAAGAGCCTAAAAAAAGCCTTCAGCAGCAGGGCAGAGCAGAGCAGAGGAGGAGAGAAAGCCTGGCCATTGTCCCCAAAAAAAAGCTGATCCCATGTGTGTGGGGCACGGCTCCTGAGTCAGACCTTAATTGCTGGAGGCTGCAAGAGGAAGAGGAAGAGGGAAACCCAGCTCTCTCCCTATCAGCCTTTGCTCTCTGTAACAGGAGACTGGGGAAGATGGACCTTGCTCCGATGGCAGCTCTTAGGGTCTCCCGGGGCAGGGGAAGGGGCCGGCTCTGCGGTGTCGGGGTCCCAGGACCCCTTTCCCCCGCCGAGAGCCCATGGGGCGAATCCCCACAGCGCCCTGCACATTAGCACTGACAATGCCGATGGCAATTCAAGAGCCCGGGGCTGGAAGCCAGGCCCGGGAAGGCTCCCACCAGACGCGGGCGGGGGAACATTTCAGGGCCAGCTATAAAATAGGTTTACGTTGGCCGCCGTTCACAGAGCCGGGGAACACGGCCCGCGTGTTTGCAGGGGGCCGCGTGAGATAGTGGAAAATGTGGAGACCCTTGCTGGGTTTCCACGGCCTCCGTCGGCGTGGCTGACCCCCGGCCAGATCCTGCTGTGCCTTGCGCGGCGGGAAAGCCGTGGACGCGCGCCAGGGTGACTTCAGCTGTGTGCTCAGGGGGGCTGTTTTTGTCCCGGCAGGGGGGCCTCTGCTCTACGACCACGTGAAGCTCGTCTACAACTCCACGCAGCTCAACGGCATCCAGCGCGTGCTGCTGGACGGCGTCCTGTCCGAGGAGGAGTGCCGCGAGCTCCACCGAGTGGCCACCGTGAGTAGCCGGGACTACGGGGAACAGGGATGACCCCCAAAGCCCCACGCAGCAGAGAGTGGGCTAGAAGCACCAAGGGAATAAAAATAAAATCCCAGTCCTGTACCTAGCCCCCAAGCCAGGCTGCCCCATGCTGCATTCAGGGGCGCGTACCAGTAAAAAGCCGCGGGCTTCTCTGTTAGCTGATGGTGGGGGGGAGCTCACGCGCCATACAATCACGAAGGGTGTGAGCAAAGGGACTAGGGAACCACCAAATCTCAGATACCACAGCCCAGGGCATCTGAGATCAGGAAGGTTTCAAACTAGCAAGAGAAATGAGATTTTTTTTATTGCAACATGTTAACTGGTGGAACTCATCGCTGCAGGAGGTAGGAAAAGCTGAGCCAGGTTCAGAGCAGAGCTAGATACATCCCTGGGTGGTAGACACAGTAATATCTATTAAACATGGCAGCCAGAGGGGTTTCCCTTGGCATCTCTAACCCAGCGCTAGCAGATGCCAGGAGGTAAAGAGGCTGCAGCCCGCCAGCAATGATAGCTGAGCCCATTGGGCTCCATCAGCGTCGTTCGTGATGTGGGGGCATTTGAGGAGGGGGAGAGCAATGATGCAGATGGCTCTTGTTGGGGCTGTTTCATCCCTCTCACCCTTGTCTGCAGGGCATCGTGATGGCTGGTGACGGCTACCGCGGGAAGACCTCGCCCCACACCCCCAGCGAGAAGTTCGAAGGTGCCACCGTCCTTAAGGCTCTCAAGGTGCGTCACGCCAGGTGCCGTGAGCGCCGCCCCCTCCCTCACCCTCCCAGCCCACCGGCTCACTCACCGCATGCCTCGGTTTCCCCGCAGCACGGCTTCGAGGGGCGCGTGCCCATGCAGAGCGCCCGCCTGCTGTACGACGTCAGCGAGAGGGCGCGCCGCATCGTGGAGTCCTACTTCCAGCTCAACGCCACGCTCTACTTCTCCTACACCCACATGGTGTGTCGCACCGCGCTGCCCGGTACGTCCTCGGGGCGATGGCAGCTCGTCTGCACCCGGGAGGGCCCTGGAGCATCTTCTCCCCCTCGTCCTCATTTGTCGTCCCCCCCATCCTTAATTGTCGCACTCCTTAATTAAGGGAGGCTTGTGGTTTTCTCAGTGGGCGTGGGCCCACAGGTCCCTTGGTGCAACCATGTCTCCGGCCATGGCAAGTAGCAGGTGCTTCAGAGCAGGGGTCAGCAACCCTTCACGAAGAGCAGGCTGGACTCATGCACCTCACCTCTAATGCATCTTTCACGAAGAGCAGGCCAGATTAGTGCACCTCAGCCCAGCCCCACCTGCTCACCATTAAAACACCTTTGGTGCATGCAGCTTTCCAGTTCCTGAGGAAGGGGCAATGGCTAAGGGGCAAACCTCAGCTTCATATCCCATCTCAAAAGGAGGGAGGCTAGATGGCAAGATTGGAGTGGGCAGAAGAACTGGAGACGGGGGAGCAATTTTCCCCTTGCTCCCTGCTTGCCAGCTGCAGGCTGCCTGGGTCTCGTAGCTCGGCTGTGGGCTGTGCCAGTCCCCTCCGGCCTGCCCAGCTTGTCTACGTGACCCCTGAGGGTAGGCTTGTGCTTGCTGAGCCAGGTGATATCTCTCCGCAGGCTGTAGGTTGCAGACCCCTGCTTTAGAGGAACAGGATACATCCCTGTATCCTCTACTGAGCATCTTAAGCCTCCAGCCCAGATGTTCCCTTTTTCTCCCATCGCCTTTGGTTCCAGCTGACGGCCGGGAGTGGGTGAGGGGTCTCGGGGAACATGTCACTCCCATCTCATCCCACCCATCCTCCTCTCCTCCCTCCTGTCCCCATGGTCCTGCCTAGGCCAGCAGGAGAAGCGGAACGACCTGAGCCACCCCATCCACGCTGACAACTGCCTGCTGGACCCCGAGGCCAACGAGTGCTGGAAGGAGCCCCCAGCCTACACCTTCAGGGACTACAGGTAGGCATGCCGGGCCAAGACCCTGTGCATCCACAGCTGCACGGGGGAAAAGGCATCATCCTAGCCACGTGCGACTGGAAGGGCCCAGGGATGGGCTTCTTGCACAGCGTCCGCTTGGCCAAATTGCACCAACCTCTCTGCCTCGCCCGTAAGACAGCCCTAAGCTGGGGGACTGCTTCCCAGAGACTTGTGGTCTTTGCAAGCATGGAAAATGTTTACTGCTCTTTGCTTAAATCTTGCTAATAGTGCAAATCTTGCTTCTGTCTGATCTGAGCTGCTCAACCTGATGCAACTTCCAGAGACACTTCTCCAGGTATTCCTGCCACAGGTTCCCCAGTGAGTGAAGACACTGGTTAGAAAACAGATAGCCTTTCCTCCCGGTTTTTGCCTAGCTAACACGGGACCAATGCCGGGCTCCACAAACCCAAAGCTGTTCTGCAAACAAACATCTTAATACAGGCATACATTGTGTGAACGGTCCCAGCATGCGGATGCTCACAGGTAGATCGTATTCCTCCCCCGTGCCTTCAGATTCAATTTCCACATCCTTTGACTGTGGAAACCAAGTCACTCCAGGGGTTGTGCCTGGATGGAGGAGATCGCTGAATGGAGGGTGTTTGCAATCAGGCTTACCCACCTGAGACTGACACTTCCCAGTCATAGTTTCATAGTTTCTAGGGTCGGAAAGGACCTGAGCAGATCATCGCGTCTGACCCCCCGCCATGGCAGGAAAGATTACTGGGGTCAAACAACCCCAGCAAGTCCTTTCAAGCATCCTTGTGACATCCCCAGATGAACCTGCTTATCCTAAGGCAGCCGACGCAACCCCCACACCATGGTGCCTAGGTCACGAGACTGGTCTTTCTCTTAAGATATTGGCCGCTGGGAGGAAGGAAATGCATCCCTTCTGGGTTTAGATGCAACCCAAAAGAAGCAGGTCTCCAGCAACCCCCAGTCCCAGCACATCGCCCCTCTGCAAGGACCGCTCAACCCTTGCAGGACAGGAGAGAACGGAGGCACTAAAGCAGTCGTTCTTAATCATTTCAGACAATGCTCTTGGTTTTCACTCTTTTTTTGCCTGCAAAAAATAGTAGAGCATCTTTTTTCTGTTGCAAAAAACACAGAAAGACCCCAATACTTGAAATCCCTGGGTTTAATCTTGTGAATTAAGTTTGCACACCTCACAGTGCTGACACTGAGCAGCACCCTCGAAAGGATCTCAAGGCACCCCAGGGTGCTGTGGTTCCCCTGGTTGAGCATCGCTGCCCTAAACTATTACGAGCCTGAGTCGAACCCAGTGGCCAGACGTGCTTCCCGCGTCACCGTCACGGCTCCTCACCGTGCCGTTGTCTCCTCCTAGCGCCCTGCTCTACATGAATGCGGATTTCGAGGGAGGGGAGTTCATCTTCACCGAGATGGATGCCAAGACCATTACTGTAAGTCAGCGCTTTCTGGGATATAGCGTTTGCGAGCTGGTGGCTGGGTTTTGTTTCCGTGCAATGCCTGCGCCTTCCCTGAGGATGCTGGTGTCGGGCTAGGGCGGGCCACGGTCCCCTGGGAATCGCCATCTGCACAGCCTGTCTTATCCGTAATGCACAGTGCAGGCATCGCCATCGGTCGCCCCCGCTACGCTCGAAAGCGGTGCAGAGCTACTCGGTTTATTGGCCCGCTTGCTCCTGATGTTTTTAAGGGCAGCTTGGACAAACACGTGGCTGGGATGAGTTAGTCAAAGACCATCCTGCCCTGAGCAGGGCCCTGCTGACCCGTCTTTTCTATATTCCTCCGACTCTATCCCCTCAAGATTCAGGTCTGCTTTCCAGTAGCAGCCTCTGGTCTTGGCTCTGTTGGTCTGAGGCACAACAGGTTAAAGATCTCCCCTTCCCGAGCCGGTCGCGATGCTTCCCGTGCTGGAGGTTTGCTGAGCTCTTGCAGCCCCTCGTGGCCAGACGTGCAGTCGCAGCGCGGCAGCTCTGCGCAGAGCTGTGCGATGCCCTCTGGAAACGCGTTGCCGCAGGGCTCGGGGGGGCTGCAGGGGTCCGGCCCGCTGCACTCCCCCCTCCACGGGACTTGGGAGGAGAGGCTGAGGGAACTGGGCTCGCTGCAGAAGGGAAGACCGAGGGGGATTGAATAGCAGCCTTCACCTCCCTGCAGGGGGGTGCAAAGAGGATGGAGCTGGACGGGTCTCAGTGGTGCAGATGACAGAAGGAGCAATGGGCTCAAGCTGCAGCAAGGGAAGTTGAGGTTGGATGTTAGGAAAAACTCTCTCACTAGGAGGGTTGGTGAAGCCCTGGAACAGGTTACCCAGGCCGGTGGTGAAGTCTCCATCCTTGGAGGTTTTAAAGATAAAGCCCTGGCTGGGATGATGTAGTTGAGGCTGGTCCTGCTTGGAGCAGGGGAGTAGACTAGATATGACTCCTTGAGGTCCCTGCCAGCCCTCGTTGTCTGTGATTGTCCCCCGCCCTCACCAGCCACCTTACAGCAAGTCCTTTTGAATATCCAGGACGCTCTGCTCCTGGCCTTCGAGCAAGGCAAGACCCGAATACACGGCTCTCAGCCTCGTTACTTAGACTCCAGCCTCGCCCTGGGGCAAGAGCCAGCTTAATTTTTGACTATGGAAAAATACCAGAGCAGTTCTTCTGTTGCAGAGAGCTCAGCGGGGCCGCGCCAGGGCAGGATGGGTTTGATGTTCTGGATTCCTGTTTGAAACCTTGGGGTTTCTCTTGTGAAACCCATGGAGAGGCTTGCACCCCTGTCATGGCGCGGCACCCCAGGCTTGCTGCACGTCCCTGGTGGAGAAGTGCTGGTCTAGAGAGGGGCCCGTTTTCCAAAGGGCCTCAGCTTTTCCCCCACCATGGCCGAGTTCAGCCTGTGTAGCAGAGCTTCTTGGCCTGCAAGGAAGATCGCACCGAGCCTGTTCCTCTGCCCAGCCCTGAAGGCACCTGTGCTTCCACCAGTCAAGCCCCCCAGGCACTTCCACGGCCCTGGGGACGTTCGCCCACCCACCTCCTCCAGGGCTCATGTGGGAAGGGTTGGAGTGCAGCCAGGCCCAGCTGGAGGAGGGCAGCAAAGGGTGCGAGTCCCGTCCCTGCCTGAGCTGCAAGTCTCCCCCCAGGGCACGGGCCCTGGCAGCTCCATCTGCCTCCAGAGCCTGCTTGCAAGGGGTTGGGGACAGTGGGGCAGTGCTGGTCTCCGTGCTGCTCAGGGGGTCTGTGCGTTGTGGAGTGTGCACCTCTCCGTTGCTTCCCACAGGCCTCAATCAAGCCCAGGTGCGGGCGCATGATCAGCTTCTCGTCCGGCGGGGAGAACCCGCACGGTGTGCGGGCCGTCACCAAAGGGCAGCGCTGCGCCGTGGCGCTGTGGTTCACCTTGGACCCTCTGTACCGGGAGCTGGTGAGTGCATGCAGCGCGACGGGGGCCTTGTGCAAGTCCTGTCCCATGGGGGAGGGCAGGGAAAAGGCACTTCTGCCTCTCCTGGCACCATCATGGGTACGGAGAAGGGCTCCCCGGGAGACCCCTGGCTGTTCCCCTAGGCCGGCGGGACCCACCTGTAGCTGCCTCATATACCACCGAGCAGTTCAGGACGTCATGTTAGAGATGAAAGGAAATGCCCAACCAACCCCAGTCCAAGCAGAAACCCCACAAATGCAGGAGCTGTTTTGCATCCTAGCATTGGGTTGTATCCTTGCCACAGACTCTCTTCGCGGCCATGGGCAAGTCCCCTAACCAGTTTGCACCTTGTTCCCCCGCCGGGGAAAGGAGGACAAGCTCCTGCACAGGGGCTGTGGTGAGAAGCTCCTCCATCGTTCAGGAGCTGCCTGGTTTCAGGGCAATGCAAACAGGGAGGTTGCATGAGGCCAGCATGGGCCAGCACCTGGCAACGTCACCGCTGCTCTGCGGGTGAGTGGGGAAGAGTCGGAGCTGGATGCTGAGTCTCGGCATTGGGCCCCCTGGCAGGGAAACACCCCTCTACCCACGTCGTTTGGGACCCAGGTTGGTCCCTGAACCCGGCTGCTCTGGTGCCTCCTGCTCCCCACAAGGTCTCTCCTGCCCCACACCCGTCGTGGGCTCTCTAGACCCAGCAGACACACAGCGCCCGTGATGCTAAAGGGCAGGGATAAGAGGGGCATGCCCGAGGGTCCCCCCAGCCAAGACTGGCGCAGCAGCAGGTGCTGCAAAGCGGTTTTGCTTCTGGGAGGATGCTGGGGAGTGAGGACGCCCCGTGGCTGGTGCATGTAATATCCAGGGACGTGTCCCCATAGACCCGCACAGGAAGACAGCGCTTTTGAGGAGCTGGGCACTGTATTTAAGGGTGGATGCACTGTGGCTTTATAAGGGGCATCGTGATACTTTCCAGGTCCCTCCAGACATGCCCTGTGCTCGTATCTAAAGCATCTTTCACCATCCCAGACCGGCTCCAGGGCTAATGGATGCAGGCTGGCACTGACGCTGCCTCTCCCTTCTCCGCAGGAGCGGATCCAGGCGGACGAAGTGATAACACAGTTAGACCAGGAGCACCCGGGCACGGAGGAATTGAACATCAACCCGCGGGACGAGCTCTGAGCCCCGCTTGAGAGACTCTATTCTCTATTTATTTAATATTGCTGATCTAATGAGAACCCGTCTATTTTTGTACAGAGCCTCGGTATAAGTTAACGGGGGGGGGGGGGGGGGGGGGGGGGGGGCCCCCCGGGGGG